GTAGTGGAGACAAATAGCCATGGGGATTTACGAAATGGCTTAGTTCTGTCTAGATAAAATGCAATTGCCCGTCTGATGTCGAGGATATGTAATGCCGCTTCCTGTGGGGTCTTATGAGGTTTGGAATAGAATGCAGGTAAGTGTATTGGCTGGTTAAGGTGGAAGGTAGAAACCACCTTGGGAAGGAATTTGGGGTGGGGTCACATTGTTACTTTGTCTTTAGAGAAAATCTTGTAGGGAGGGTAGGCCATCATGGCGCTTATTTCACCGACCCTTCTCACTGACGTTATGGCAACCAAAAAAGCTACTTTCATAGACATGTGGAGCATGGGTGATGTAGCCAGAGGCTCGCAGAGAGGTTTCATAAGACCTCGGAGAACTAGGTTGAGATTCCCGGGGGCTGCTGGTGGATGAATCTTAGGGTAGAGATTTTGCAGGCCAATGAGGAAGCATTTTATGGTGGGGTGGGCAAAAAGTGAATATCCATCCAGCAGATCATGGAAGGTGGTGAGAGCTGTGAGGTGTACTCTGATAGAACTGAGTGAGAGCCCATCCTGTTTTAGTTTTAAAAGGTAGTCTAAGATGTCAGGGAGGGTCGCGGTCTGGGGTGTCAAGCGTCTGTGGAAGCACCATGTGGAGAACCGTTTCCACTTTTGCAGGTAAGTCTTACAAGTGGAGTCTCTTCTACTGTGCAGGAGAACGTACTGGACCTGATCCAAACAGGCTAATTCATGGGTTTGAAACCATGAAGGAACTACACCATCAGATGGAGTTTCTGGAGCTGCGGATGGAGAAGCCGACCATTGTCCTGGGAGAGCAGAACTGGTCTGTTGTGGAGAGTCCTTGGAGGATGGATGGACATGCGCAGCAAGTAAGGATACCATGTCTGTCTGGGCCAAGCTGGGGCAATAAGTATGACCCTGGCCTTGTCCTCTCTGAACTTGCGTAGAACCCTGTGTATCAGTGGGATCGGCAGAAAAGCGTACATGAGGGATTTGTTCCACGGAATGAGGAACGCAACCCCTAGGGATGCGGTCCCGAGTCCCACGGGATGCGGTCCCGAGTCCCACTCTGGAGCAAAATAGATGTCATTTGCAGTTCTGAGTTGTGGCAAACAGATCTATCAACGGGGTGCCCCAGTGGGAGAAGAGCTGTTGTAGTATTGTGGGGCTTTAAGAAATGAGACTCCTGTAAGGAGCCTATGCCATGGTCTGACGGAGACTCACGATGCGTGAAGTGCCTTGGCGAGTGCCTGCCAAGTGTCTCCATTGTACCAGCCTGAAAACCAGGGCTCGTTGTGACCGGGACTTACGGCTAAAAACTCTCCTGATGGAGCAATCTGTGCAGCTGCCTATGGAGACAGGCACAAGGAAACCCTTTCCCTCACGCTCCCCTGCTAGGTCAAAACCAATCGGGAGAGCAGCTTCACCCTCTCAAGCGAAGAGGCAGGAAGCCCCAATGTCTCTGCACAGAGACTTTCAAAAGGGTAAAAGGTCTCCTCTGAGATCTTTTACCCTTGGTGCTAAAAGCAGGCACCTCCGACTGCCCCAACACCTCAGCTGCGGCTCAAGCCGGGCACAAAAGCAGGGACCCGACTTCCCACAATGGGAAGCTCTCCTCGGCATCAGTCCCGTCAGCACCGAAGATAGACCTGGTACCAGCAGCACGTTCCACCCTGGTGCCGACAAGAACGTTGGCATCGAGCCTGCCCACCACACATGCAGCAGACGTGGACCCCATGCAGGGTGCCTATAAACGGCACACAGCACCCGTGAAAACAAAACAAATGTCGCTGTGGGCTTCTGCTCATACTTCGCGCTTCACAGGACCACAACCCATGAAGTTGGAAGGAAGAGTCAAAACCAGGCTTACAAGGGAGAGCCAGTCACTACAGTGACTCCATTGTAAAGTACTATATATAGTGTCTCATTGGGTACCATAGAAATCACTGTTAAGTCTGATCCTATTTAACATTTTCAGTGAGAGAATAAATACCTCATTCATGACATTTGTAAATTGCAGTAAATTGAGAATTGCAAACATGTATCAGGTGAGAGGAGTAATTCAAAGAGACCTAAAGAAATGACCAAATGAGATTCACATTTTTTAAAATGCAAGCAAATACATCTGTAGAAAAGGAATTTGAAATACACACATCCAGTGGGAGGATGAAGCCTGCAGAGCAGTAATGCTGGAAGAAATTGAGGGACAGTGTACAGCAAATCAGACATGGATTAGTATTGCAGCCTGACATGTAAAAGGTATTTTGATCTTTGGGCTGCATGTATAGTGGCATCAAGTTACAGAGAAGGAGGTAAAAGTGTCGCTCTCCAAAGTTCTAAGGTCAGTCGCACTTAGAGTACTGCATTCTTTTCTGGACACCTCATTCTGATAAATATATTGACAAACTGAAGGAAGTTTAGCGAAGAGCAGCAAGAGTTATTAGGGAGCCGGAGAGACTGATTCATAAGGAAAGATCAAAAACACTATATATGTATAATTTGCCTAAGACATACCTGCAGGCAACTAGGACAACACTACAAGTATTTGGTGGTAGAATTATTTAGGCTGTCACAAAGGGGTATTCCTGAGAGAAATGGAGCAAAAATAGGAAAAACTTAATAGGTAAGTTTGATAACAAGATGATTTCAGCTGTTGAATAGTCTCCTGAGGGATGGGGTGTACATTTAAAACTAGACTGGAGAAAATGTATGCTAGGGAACAGTGCTGCAATAGCAGGGGGTGGACTGGACTGTTATTTTCCATCTTTAATCTTTATTATGATTTTTTATCATAAAATTATCTAGACTCTTTCCCCTACCATAAACAACTTCCCTTGATCCAACCTCTCCGGCTAGTGCCCCATCCCCATAAATTGTTGTAGCTCTTTCCGAGGGGAATTCCTGTGCAGGTGCAATTGCATGGGACTGTGGAAGAATATATGGTGCTATAGAAGGAACACTTCACCCATGTTCACATGGTCCTCCTTCTGCCAGTGTAGAAAGACAGGAGAAAACATCCATTTGCTTCATATAGATGCCCTTGCACAGGAGATCTACTTGGACAGACCTCTGCAGAGGCCGTGTGTGAGAGCGTGTGTGGTGGGAGGGACTGCAGAGGTACTGCTCTCTGTGGCACCATCTCCTGCAGGGATTACAATACAGAAATCTGGTGACAGGTAATACACCTTGGAGCTGCATTGTCTACTCCAGGGGGAATTCTACACCAAAAAATTAAAAAGTCTGCGCACAATATTTTAAAATTCTGCATGATTCTGCATATTTTATTTGTCAAAATAACACAATATAATCATGCCAGTTTCAATTATTTTGGTAATTTATTTCAAAATACCTGTCAGCAAGTATGTCTGTAACAATACAGACAAAAAAAAATTCAAGTAATTTTTTTTGACAAATAGATTCCTTACTAGGCATATTAATACAGAACATTGAGTAATTCATTTAAACTACAATACAGAAATGTATTTCCTGCACCCCTCAGAATCAGTGCAAAGGCTTGGGGGAGTCAGGGGTAATGGAGGAGCTGCGGAAGAGGGAAAGAGCTTGGGAGTGAACCTTGCAGGTTGTTGGGTGTGGTGGGAGAAGTATTGAACAAGTGTTTTGGGGGTCGGGAGAGGAGGGATTGTTAGGGAGTTGGAGAGCCTCCCCCATGCAGACCCTGGCTGACCCAAAGCCTCTCCCAATCAATCAGACACATCTGCCCCTGTCCCTGTACCTCCCATCTCCATTTGGCCCTGCAGCCCTCCTCCCGCATCCCCATGTGCCCTGCAGCACCCCTCCCATTCAGCCCCTGGCTCAATGATGTCACCCCACTAGCTCCTGAGCTCTTGTTCCCCGCAGTCTGTCCCCCACTCTGTGACACCCCCAGCAGCCCTGCGTACCCCACTCTTGTCTGTCCTAACCTGGGTCCGTGGACAAGGTGCTGTGACGAATGCAGCCAGCTGCTGGCTGTTCTGGTGCCATAGCTGTCTCTGGTGGGTGAAAGGCAGAACTGCAGCACTTCTAAGGCAGAATGTATTTTCTGTGGGGAAAAAAAATTCTGCACTGGACATGAATTTTGTGTGCGCGTAATGGCACAGAATTCCCTCAGGAGTAATTATCTTCTTCTAGGTCTCCTACATCGCTACTACCACGCAGCTACAAGACAAGCCTATGAGTTGTTCTCTGCCAGTAGGGAAGGAGTTGGGGGGCAGCAGCAACCCTCACTGCAAGATGGCTCCTATCTCTTCACAAAAAGGATTCTAATGGATAGTCAGGATCTGTGGAGTTGGAATAGGGTGTGGTCTCCAAAATCCACAAGTCCCAATCCCCTCCTCTCAGGGCTTGGCTACACTTGCACGTTATACTGCAATAAAGCCACCCAGAGTGCTCTACCTTACTCTCCATCCACAATGGCAAGGCATGTAGAGCGCTCTGACTCCCGGGCTAGAGCACTCCTGGTATTCCACCTTGGCGAGAGGAATAACGTCTGTTGCATATTGGCTGAGACGCCTCAGCATCAGTGTGAACGAAGAGTTACATTACTGCGCTCCGACTGACCTCTGGAAACATCCCATAATCCCCTTAAGCCAAGTGGCCTCTCTTGTCATTGTCGTGAAATCAGCTGCAGGAATGCGGAAGTGCCCTTTCAAAGCTCCGTTTCGGACAGCGCCTGCTTATCCAGTCCGAGAAATAGCACATATTTACTGTTTGCTTTCAGTGAGTGAGAGAGAGGCGGGGGGGGGAAGGGAGGTCTGAATTCACAAGACAGCGTGCTGACACACTCTCAGCACCCCCAAAACCCACTCTCTCTCCCCCCACATACACACAACACACTCCCTGTCACACTCCACCCCACCCCCCGCATTTGAAAAGCATGTTGCAGCCACCTGAACGCTGGGATATCTGCCCATAATGCACTGCTCCTAATGCAGCTGCAAGTGCCGCAAATGTGGAAATGCCAGTGCACTTGCAGCTGTCAGTGTGGACAGACTGCAGCGCTTTCGCTACTGTGCTCTCCAAAGAGGTTTAACCCAAAGCGCTCTACATCTGCAAGTGTCAACAAGCCCTGAGACAGAGAGGTTCCAGGGACTCTGAGAAATGGCCCACCTGATGATCACTTTAGATAAGCTATTACCAGCAGGACAGTGGGGTGGGAGGAGGTATTGTTTCATATTCTCTGTGTATATATAAAGTCTGCTGCAGTTTCCACGGTATACATCTGATGAAGTGAGCTGTAGCTCACGAAAGCTCATGCTCAAATAAATTGGTTAGTCTCTAAGGTGCCACAAGTACTCCTTTTCTTTTTTTTTTTTTTTGAGAATTTTTTCTTGTGTATTTCTGTGGGAGGAAGTGATCTAGCCTTCAGACTCATGCCTTACACAGGAAAAACTCCCATCGATATAGCAGGTGAGGATGTACAAGACTGAGCTCAGGATTTGGTCATTAGTGCACATACATTTTCCCATGGAGAACCCAAATAAAACACACATGTTATGTAGAGCTGGTCTGTCTTCCCCATTTCTATCTGATCTCACATTTTATAGGCCAGTGTTGCTCAGCACCACGCAGGACCAGTGCCTCAATTATCAGAAACAGGAAGAGATCTGAAGTCCTGTGAAGCAGAAAATAGTTGTAATTCAGTGCATCTTGGTCACATCCCTGACCCTTCCCTCCACACCCAACACACACACACACACACACAAAACCAGGCCTTTGTAGAGTTCTACACCACCAGCCATATGTCAGGGAGACTCCACTATATAGAATCAGTTTCCATTCATTTTAAGGAAGGCTCTTTTAGAGCAGCGTGAAGGGACTCAATCTCAGTATATTTATTAAGATTTTACTTCAGTAAGCAGCGTCATCTTACTTTTCACCTATCAAAGTCTGCTTGACTCACACAAAAATACTGTAAAGTTGAGCTAATTAATTGCTTGTCACAAATAGCTGATTGCATGAAACAAATGACTAAAGTCTGCACAGTCAGTAAAGGTGGTGAGTGACTCAAAGAGAAAGACTTGTTTAAACCCGTAAAAAAAAGAAGGCTGGATGAAGGGTTAGGTCTCCTTTGTCTTTGAGCTCCTTCTAGTGGACTGTATTATGTTTTTCTGTACACAAACCCTATGACTTTTAGTTCAGATTAAGGGAAGCAACAAAACAAAAATCAAGTCTTCTTAAGAGCTCATGCTATATGTCTGCTCTGTAACATGTTGCATCAACGCTTTCTTAACATGTAGGCTGCTTTTGAAGACAAGCAGACTTCTGGACAGGTAAAGGTACAGTACAGAAGAAACCAAATTCTAACAGTTATATACAAAGGGATTGAATTAGAGCAGCTTGCAGCAGCTCAGCAAGCTGGTACCATTTCATGGAGACGACCATCTTGTGCTATATAATTTAAACTTTCAATAAAAAAATAAAGTTGTTAGTCATTGTAGTGGCAAAAATAATGTTCAAAATGGGAACTGAGGCCCTGTCTACACTGATAAGTTTCTGCACAGTAAAGCAGCTTTCTGCGTTGTAACTCCCGAGGTGTACACACTGCCAAGCCACTTAGTGCGCAGAAACTGTGCAGTTGTAGCGCTTTAAAATAAAAACAAAACCCAAAAAACACCCTGACAAGAGGTGTATTAGGCTTAGACTTACGGGAGCGCTTTAACATTGCCAGCTTTCTGTGCCGGGGTTATAGTGCTGTGGTGCCATTGCAGACACCGGGGCGATTACAGCGCCATGATTGGCCTCCGGGAGGTGTCCCACAGTGCCTGTTCTTGCCTCTCTGGTCATTGGTTTGAACTCTACTGCCCTGCCCTCATGTACCAACTATAATTCCCACCCCGTACTTTCCTTTGGAAATGTGAAAGTCCCCTTCCTGTTTAATCGGTGATGAGTGCAGTGGTCTCAGCACATCTTTCCAGATGGCCATGCCTGCTCCACACACCAGGCAATCCCCAGCTTGGAGCAATGCTGAACTGCTGGACCTTGTTGGCATTTGGGGAGAGGAAGCTGTGCAGTCCCACCTTCGCTCCAATCGTAGGAATTACGATACCTACGGACAGATTTCACAATGCATGACAAAAAGGGGCCATGACCAGACACATGGCAATGTAGGGTAAAAGTGAAGGAGCTGCGGAACACCTACCACAAGGCATGCGAGGCAAACTGCCTGTGATGTTATTGACAGGAACTGTCACTGTATAGATCATTGTTGCAACCAGGGTCCGATGGTTGCACCAGGTATTGTACAGAGGAGGCCAAGTGGGGTGTCTGTGGAAAGGTTGTAGTTTGCTGGTTATGATTGTGCTGTCTGTATCATTTTTGTATTTGAAGTTATCAGTATTGGATATGTACTTGTTTTATTCTAAGTAGCCTCAGTGAAGCATTTGGTCAGCTTCTTGAGAAAGGACTATTTTCAGCGAGTGCCCAATCAAGAAACCCTTAACTGACAATGGACTTTGGGAGATGCCAATCCACATCGGAGCTTTCCTGGGAATGTTTAAATTAACATGTAAACAATGGCATTGGCCTGCAAAAAGCTAAATCATCCATAGACATGTGGCTTACCCAGTGGCTACAGACTCCATCTTGTTGTTGTGATTTTGCACAGGAGAACAAAGGGGTTTCCACCCACAAGAGGGAGAATATAAAAGGCCCTGGAAACCCCTCCATTTTGTCTTCAGTTGGCTGAAAAGATAGCCTCTCCACCCCAAAGAGATGCCTGAAAGAAACTGGAACAAAGGACAGTAACTTGTGAGTGATTGCTGGACCCAGACTAGGAAGGAGTCTAGGCTGTGAAAGAAGCATATTGGAACATCTCTGAGGGTGAGATTTACCTGCATTTAGTTTCCTTCTGTATTAGGCTTAGATTTGCAGCAGTGCTTTAAAATTGCCAGTGAAGACATGCCCTAACACAGCTTCACTTTTTATGTGTCTCTGAAATAGAGGGGGATGGGAGAGTGGCACACAGGGGCTTGTGGGGGAAATGCATGAAGGAATGCAAGGCGCTCCTGATGTGTGTAATACACTTAGCCTAGAGAAGCTACCAAATGTGTGACCCCCTTAAGTTTTTCATAGAAAAAATGGAAATTGTTAAACAAAATGAAAATTGAAAATCTAATGGACAGCACACTGCACTAGGAGTTAAGGGACCCAGGTTCTCTTTCTAGCTCTGTCATTGGCTTGCTGTGTGACCACTTCATCTCTGTCTCCCACTTTGTGTTCGTACAGTGCCTAGCACAATGGAACCCTATGCTTGGTTGCTGCCCCAAGACGCTACCACAGTATAAATAATAATAATGAACAAACAGTGGAAATAACCATGAGTATTTTCCTACATTGCCCTTCTCTGACCTCTTAATATTTTTGCACTTTTCATTGGACCAAATTGTGATGTGTCCTCCAACCATGACAGTAAGTTACACCCAGGGCCGTCCTTAAACATACGCAGCAAATGCGACTGCATCAGGTACCCAAAAATTTGAGGCACCCCTGGGTCTTAGTGTCCATCCTCCCGCCTCTTCCTATCCCTGTTCTGACCCTTCCTGCAGGCTCCCACCACAGCTGGCTGCTGCAGCCTGGTGAGTCTTCCCCTGAAGGGGATCTAGTACTTAAAAGTGAAAAAGCCTTCCAGCTTGCCAGACCTATTAGCACAACACTGAAACTGTTAAAGAGCCATTCAAGTGGTGATGAAGCCATTTAACAGGCATTTGCCAACCCCCAGGTATATACTGTCAGTTTCTGAATTTTCTGACGAAAACAGTTGTGCATGACTGTAATATTTACTCAGAACATGTTAGTCTACAGGACCTTAGTTTAAAATTTGCTTTAAAAATATTTCATTAGTGTGTTGCTGAAGATTATAAAAATCACATCGCTAAAAAATCCTTGCATAGATTTTTAGATGCACAATGACAGGTTTCAGAGTAACAGCTGTGTTAGTCTGTATTCACAAAAAGAAAAGGAGTACTTGTGGCACCTTAGAGACTAACCAATTTATTCACAAAAGCTTATGTTCAAATAAATTGGTTAGTCTCTAAGGTGCCACAAGTACTCCTTTTCTAGATGCACAATATGAGTATTCATCTTTAGCCTTAAATGCTTGGATCTTCAGACATATGGTTTTCTAAATAAATCCTTCAAAAGACCACCCTTATCTAAAATACACATGCGCGCTCAGGCTGCTGTTGGGAATAGGAGCACCAGTTTAATAATACTGCATAGGACCCCATAAATCCTAAAGACAGCCCTGGTTACACCACCTATTCAAACTACCCATTTTTCCAGTCTCTCTGCACCACACACATCCAAATCACAGAGTTGCTGCCAATGGCCTATATGTGGCTGTGTGTGATTCTGGCTACAGTTTATGCTGAATTCACTAACTGCTCCTCTGGGATTCTCATACTGTGTGAAAGAGAGAGAGGAGGATTAAAATAGACAAACAGGAAGGGGCGGGGGGGAGCTTTTACCACACTAGCCAAGGAGGTCAACTGAGTCAGTTAGAGATGAGCTTGCTCAGTACTGTTCACCTTGGAGGATTGGGACCTATATTTCCATGAAGTTATGAGAACCTCTTGATGGGCACATATATCCTTCTAACTCACGGCTACTTGCGTTCTAGCCTGTCTCTCTATGTACTGTAAAACAAATTTAGAAATCAAAGGAAAATATTGCACTTACTACTCTTTTTCCCACCCAAATTCTATTTCAATTGTAGCCCGATGTTCATTACTACTGTCTGTAGTTACATCCAGGACATTTAATCTTCCTTGAGGTTTTAATATAGCTGATAATTTCTGCAAACATTGTCCATATCCTCTGAGAAAGGAAACAACTTGCCACAGAGAAGCCACTAGATGGCATTGTGGAGTTGTTTGGCCTCTGTATTTTGATAGGTTTCAGAGTAACAGCCGTGTTAGTCTGTATTTGCAAAAAGAAAACGGGCTTTGTTGCAAGGATAGGTTCCTGGGTTAGTGGTTCTGTTGTGTGGTATGTGGTTGCTGGTGAGTATTCACTTCATGTTGGGGGGCTGTCTGTAGGCAAGGACTGCCCATTGCCAACTGTGCCCACATATCTATTCAGGGGACACCATCACAGGGCCTAATAACATCAGCCACACTATCAGAGGCTCGTTCACCTGCACATCTACCAATGTGATATATGCCATCATATGCCAGCAATGCCCCTCTGCCATGTACATTGGTCAAACTGGACAATCTCTATGTAAAAGAATAAATGGACACAAATCAGATGTCAAGAATTATAACATTCATAAACCAGTTGGAGAACACTTCAATCTCTCTGGTCACGCGATTACAGACATGAAAGTTGCGATATTACAACAGAAAAACTTCAAATCCAGACTCCAGCGAGAAACTGATGAATTGGAATTAATTTGCAAATTGGATACAATTAACTTAGGCTTGAATAGAGACTGGGAGTGGCTAAGTCATTATGCAAGGTAACCTATTTCCCCTTGTTTTTTCCTACACTCGCCCCCCCGCCCCTCCTCAGATGTTCTTGTTAAACCCTGGATTTGTGCTGGAAATGGCCCACCTTGATTATCATACACATTGTAAGGAGAGTGATCACTTTAGATAAGCTATTACCAACAGGAGAGTGGGGTGGGGGGAGAGAAAACCTTTTGTAGTGATAATCACCCATTTTTTCATGGTTTGTGTGTATAAAAACGTCTTCTGTATTTTCCACAGTACGCATCCGATGAAGTGAGCTGTAGCTCACGAAAGCTTATGCTCAAATAAATTGGTTAGTCTCTAAGGTGCCACAAGTACTCCTTTTCTTTTTGTATTTAGCTTACTATTTTGTATTGCTGACACTGGCCTGTAGACTGTGAATATGTTTTGTGACCTAGTTAGGATGATTTTCTGTCTTTAGGTCCCAGATTGCAAAGAGTTGTTGACTTTTTTTTCCCAGCTGTAACTGGGGAAAGGTTAGAAGTCCAGAAAAGGAAAAATTCAGTGAAAAGATCTATTTTTGAAGTAGAGTCTTGAAACAACTTACTGTGCAGAGGACAACCCTTTTGTATGAGGGGGGGAAAAACTAAATACCTACTCCATTTTATGATCTGTGCTAAGGGCACAATGTTATTTTAATTGATCTTTCTGGAAATGGGTGCTGGCTTTCGAAGTTGGTATCCATGATCATTCAAAGGGACTCAACAAAACTGTATAAAATGAATCAAAATACAATAATAATAATTATACAACAATAAAATTAACTCATGAACAAGTCCTGTCAGCAGCCAGGTTCCTCAACTGCTTTATAGGTGTTGAAAACAAGACAAATCTGCGGTGGATATTTTAAATGATCAAAAATTGACAATGTTGCCCATGATACTCCATGCCCTGTTTGCAGATATTCAGGGTATCGGGGGGAAACTACTTTATAGAAAAGCACGCAATGTGAGAGGAGGTGCAAATGCCATCAAGAACAGAGAAATAATAAATACAAAGGGCTCTAGAAAGATTAAAAATGTAGGAAGGTAAAATAATCCAAACCCAGATATTGGACGAGAGGGAGAAGGCTACAGTGCTGACGTAGGGTGATAGAGAAGAACAAATTAAAATATGAATTCCTCTGGTACTCCTAGCCTTAGGTTTGCCTCTGCTCTGACCCTTGGCCCTCACTACCTTTGTTGGGATCCTGACAGAAAGTGAAACAACCACCATTAAACTCTAGACTATAACCCTGTTTTTAACTGGTTATAATAATCACCCTATTGCTGAATTATGGATTCTAAAAAAGGAATTACCAAAGTTACATGGAAATTTTTTTTTAAATAAGAAATGCAATGAAACGAAGGAGCAATTGTTGTTATATCTATAAAAATTATTTTCAAAAGTCTAATTATTGAAACAATTTTAAGGTCAAGGAACAAAAAGCCAGGGATAGCGAGTAACCTATTAGTCTATAACTGGAACTAGGTCACCAACAAATTCAATTACTCTCAGTGAGAAAAAGATTAGTTGCAATAAAATAAAAAAACTGTTATTAAAACAGAATCTCTTATTTTCTAACTTACCTCAAAAAGCAGTAATGCAAAGCTGACTGTGTGATGATGAGAAATGAGGAGTTCTACAGCATTCCAATCACTGAAATATAATATTAAGAATTCAAAAAGAGTAAATGTACTCAGGAATAACAAGGCTTAGAAACAACAGGAACATTATAACAGCAGGTTACAGGGCTTTCAAGGGTCATTCTGCTATTGGTAAAATATCACGTTTGCTGGAGATTTGTATTAGTGTCAAATCTTAGAATGAAGATATTTTACACTTGTATATCATACAAGTCTTTCACCAGACAATCTCAAAGCAATTTACAAATGTTAGATAAGCCTCACAACACTTCTGGAAGGCACAGTGGTTTTCATCCTCAGTTTACAGATGGTAAACAGAGGCATAGATAGTTAAATGCTGAAGGTCACTGAGGATTAAGTTCTAGGAGTCTCTTACATGACTGCACAGTGGTGGTGGTGGGAGGAGTAAGGAGCCTCCTTGTCCTGGCATATCCTGCCCAGTCCTTAAACAGAAATACAGCCACAATACTTGTAGTCTATAGCAATAAAAGACTGAAGTTTACAGTAATCTTACTGCAGGATACTGGGGGGAGGGACAGGGTTAAGGGTACATAGAACTGAGTGACCTCTTATGATGGGGCTGAATCCTAGCATGGTAGAAAACTGGCCTCCAGAACAAATTGACCCAATTTGTGGGTGTGAATTCAGATACATTCCATGGGCCATTTCTAGATGTAAGTGAGGTTTTGACCTTCAAATGTGGTCACCTGGGAGGTTTGCTATATACCTAAATCAGGGGTGGGCAAACTTTGTGGCTTGAGGGCCACATCTGGGTATGGAAATTGTATGGGGGGCCATGAATGCTCACAAAACTGGGGGTTGGGATGTAGGAGGGGGTGAGGGCTCCAGCTGGGGGTGCAGGCTCTGGGGTGGGGCCAGAAATGAGGAGTTGTGGGTGTGGGAAGGGGCTCTGGGGTGGGGCAGGGGGTTGGGGTGCAGGGGGGAGCGCTCCGGCTGGGGATGCAGGCTCTGGGGTGGGGATGAGGGGTTGGGGGTGCAGGAGGGTGGTCCAGGCTGGAACCAAGGGATTCGGAGGGCTGGGGCAGGCTGTGGGAGGAGGTCAGGAGTGCAGGCTCCGGGCAGCACTTACCTCAAGCAGCTCCCGGAAGCACCAGCATGTCCTCCCTCCATCTCCTATGTGGAGGTGCGGCCAGGCAGTGCTGCGTGCTGCCCAGTCCACAGGCACCACCCCTGCAGTTCCTATTGGCTGTGCCCAGCCAGCGGGAGCTGCGAGGGCAGTGCTTGGGGTGGGGGCAGCGTGTGGAGCCGGAGTGGGGACATGCCGCTGGGAGCCAGGCGGCGCTACAGAACATGCAGAGTGGGGCAAGCCCCCAACCCTGCTCCCCGGCAGGAGCACCGGAGAGGGGAAGCCCCGGACCCCAGTCCCCAGCGGGAGCTGGAGGGCCAGATTAAAACATCTGAAGGGCAGGATGCGTCCCCCGGGCCGTAGTTTGCCCACCCCTGGCCTAAATCATACCCATATAGTAAGGAAATCCGAAGAGGTGGAACGTCTCTTAACCAATACACATTATATAATAGTGATTTTTGAACACTAAACTTGGGCCCATCAGCAGTTTACTTTACAAACACTTTCTCAGAACGTTAAAAGGAGTGGTGATCCCATTAATGCTTTTTTCCTGTGGACCAAAGGATTTGTGACTTCTTATTTGACTTTTATTTTGCAGTAACTGGAAACAGAATTGAGGCCAGCCTGGATGCAAATTTTCAATGAGCCAGGGAAACAGTTATAAGAGAGGGCCCAAGGGCAGAGGCAGTTGTCATGCCTGCCAGAAGGGTTCATTTATCACTGTGTGGTTTCCCATTTGTTCCTTGGTAGCTCGCTTTGAGAGGCCTGCGTGGATATTTCATGTCGTGGATTTTTCAAGGGACAAATGAAAATTGCTGACTTTCTTTTAGGATTAATCTGTGGGGGACTCAGGAAAAATACTAGATGCCGTCTCCCACTGACTAGTAACAAACGTATTAAGAGTTCCAAACATGAGCATATTCTTTGGAATAATATGAATACAGGACCTACACAGCACTCTTAATCCATAGATATCAATGTACTTTACAAAGGTCGGTAAACATCATTATCCACATTTTAGAGATGGGTGTGGTAAGATGGCCAATTTTAGTCTGGTGGGTCCTGCCCTTTTCTTGGCGGGGAACTAAGATGCCACCCTTTGCCCCTGCTCTTGGGTGCCGATGGCCCCGCTGCTAGCCTGGGAAGGTGGTAGAGGAGGGAAGCGGGGGAGGGGTCTGGGTTTGCTCCTTGCTCTGAGTCCCAGCCCCTCTCAACCCCTGTGGGTTTCTTACCCTCATCCCCCTTCGGTGCGGTTACCCTCAGTCCTTTGATGCTGGGGGGAAGGGAATCTCCCTGTCCTGCTGGGCAGGGTCTCCCTTACTTCAATTCTCAGGTCTTCCAAATCTCTCAACACACCTCCAAGCTCCAGTGCTTTCTCCTCCTCCTCTGTCTGCCTGACGCAGGGGGTTTTATTGGATTCCTAACAGGGCCTTAATTGACTGCAAGTGCTCCAATTAACCTGCAGCCACCTTCCCTAAGTCTACAGGGAACCATGCCTTAATTAGCCTTGAGCTTATATATTTCCCCTCTAGCACTCTCCCACTGCTCCCTGGCCCTCCTGTATCACAGGAGAACATAAGCCTCAAGGAAGTTAAGTGATATGGCTATTATAATATGCCCTGCTAGAGTTGGCAATAGAACGTAGGTCTCCTGAATCTTGTGATAGATGATCTCCATGAGAAACTACTGTAAACAAATCAGAACCCTTATTAATCTTAACAGAAGAGAAAGTCAGCACTACGTTTAACACATTTACTAGTCTGGAAAGTGGAGTTGTGGTAGATCACTGGTGTTTTGATAGGAAAGTTAGTGCCCTAAGAGGATAGTAAAATCTATCTTTATCCAGTGTTTACAACGTGCTATGGAGGTCTGTAGTTAGGTGTTGTTCAGTAATATACCCTAATTTCATTCCAGTTTTAGTGCTTAAAGAGTAAGAATATTTTGCACATGAATAGTGCTTTCCATTCAGATATCAAAGCACTTTACAAATGTGGATGAATACTATTATTACAGATGGGGAAAAGAAGGTAAACTGTGGTTAATAGATTTCCCAATGTGGCACAGAGGGTCAGTGGCAATTCAGAGGAGAATATCCAGCTCTGATGCCCATTCCAGTCCCCTATCTGCTGCAGTACAGTGCCTTCTTGGCTCTGATTTTTAACTTTGTGCATTTACAATTGTATTGACATTTTTTTAAAAAAATGTAATTTTGCATAAGTTGGGAGGGAAGAGGGTCTATCATGGGGAAATCTAGATCATATTATCTTTTTCATCTAATTGGCGCTTTTTTAAAAAAAAATTAAAGGTCCTTATCTTGCAGTCTATTCCCCCTACCTAAACATACACACATCATCATCTTATAGCAGTGGTGTCAAGTGCTGATAAACAATATTTAACTCCATCCCAACCAATCATATTTGGGTAATTAATTCAGGTTGTGAAGACTTGACATTGAATTGTAAAGGATAGGTGGGTAGACTGGGTAATCCACCTGCTAGGGTTATTTCCTTTTTCCCATGTGCAATGGAGGTGGCACGTGTTTAACTTTTGATCTCTAATTAGTACCAGCAACATCCACTGAAAAACACAGGACACATAGATTCAAAAGAATGAACATGCAACAGTATTTTAGCTACTTGCTGTCTAATGTGGGGATAGTTTTGACCTACTTCACTGAGTGACTAACTCCATCAAACTTAGCTGTTGCAACTTTTGTAAATGTTTGAACAGAAACTAGCAACAGAGAGAGCCACTGACTTTCTGCAAAAGAAGAATGTGAAGGTCACTTAGCAAAAGCAAATCTACTGAATTTGTACCTTATGCCAAGGGTGCTGAAAACTTTCGGCAAAGGAGGAGGCTGTATTGCCAATTTGCCTAAAATATATCAGACTGAAGCCGCCTTCAGAAGTGCAGCCTATAGAGACCACTGTTTGTAGCATACAATGGGATATCCCATGGCCTAGATCAAGACAGAACATTGCATGCTGGGATGTGCAGTTTCCACAGAGCATGCCAATGTAAGACAGATGATGGTGGAGGGTGACTGTGTTGTTGAAGTCATGGATTACATTTGGCCATAGTTTGGCCATGCCTGCCTTTTACTTTTTGTCAGCTTCTCTACAACAACTGTAAGCCTTCAGGATATGTATCTATCCAAGCCAGGACTCAGGAGCTTTTGTGTGTTCATTATTCAGTCAAATTAATGTGTCTAAATCAATAATCCCTTTTTACTGTCTCTATGCTCAGTTACACAAGAATGATGCATATATACTAGTATAACAAATAACGAAACTTGTAAAATCACCATTCTGTAGGAGTTTTTAAGTATACACACTTCAACTCCAGCCTGGCCAAAAGTGGCCAACAATTCTTTAACTGATAGACAATAACATAAGGCCAATTAAAAGCAGTTGTTATGCAGTAAAGTGGACTGGGTCCTGGTGTTATCTCCTGACTTACTGTAGTTCAGTAAGCACCAACTTCTCCTCTCTCTCATTCCCAGGGGGAAGTACCAAAACCCAAATACAGTTTATAGACCTGCTAGTTAGTTCAAAGGAACATTACTAACCTGAAACCTACTCAATTTCAAAAAATGAATTAGATGTAGTATCATTGTAACGGTCCTTATTCTGTAGTGTCTCCCATTTAACTACAACTCTTTCCCAATAAGGTGACTGAAACTGGACATTACTTTAAATGGTTTCTAACCAGTGCTTTATAAAGTGGTAGCACAATATCCTTAGATATAAATAATATACTCCTCTTAACACAAACTAGTAGCTTATCAACTTTCTTCACTTTTGCTGCACACTAGTGTGAGAACTCAGATGTTGGAACTGTTGGTACACCCAGATCTTTTCCCTTGCTATAGTAACTAATTCAGTACCATTTAAAACTATACTTACTTCGACACAAGAGCATCACCT